TTTATTCATGTTTTTCTTTTTTTCATTTTTCAATGTTGGTGCCATTTTTATCAATACATAAATTTAAAATATAAATAAACAAATAAATAATACCAAATTCAGACAGTGAATAACATCTTGGCCATTCAATGGCAACTGGCAAGAATGTTCTTTGATTATAGACGTTAATTGCACCAGAATTATATATATATATATATATATATATATATATATATATATATATGCTAAGGATCTGTGAGAACAGTACTATAGTGGAGAAATATGAATCAGTTTCAGCCTTACATTTGTAAAAAATTGATTTATCTGATTAGATTTTTTTACAAAAAAAATAAAGTGACATTTTCGTAATTATCATCAATTTCGTATGCAAACTTGAACACTTAAATATGTAATCTTTAACAACTAATATGCAAATCTGATAAATTTTATAAAATCAACGAAAATGCTAAATTTTAAATCTAAACTTTAGGTGCTAGACCTTAAGCGGTAAAAAGTGAACTACTAAACCAAATAAAACCAACGACTCATCATAAACTTTAAAATCGAAAACCTAAGTGCAACGCACAATCATATTTTTGCAAGTGCAATCTTTTAATACTTATTGTGCAAAATGTTATTACTAAATGTGCAAAGCTGAAAAAGTCTTAGAATTGTAGATTTTAGTGTTCAAGTTTGCATTGTAAAATTTGTAATAATTACAAAAATGCCACGGAAGGTGGACTTAGAGCCCCTGAAATGAATAGTAACAATTACTCCTATTGGAAAGCACGTACCAAAGTCTATCTCCAAGGATGATGAAACGATTGGAAACTTTCATACAAGACTTCAAGAAGTTGTAAATGTTGTTGTGGTTTTGGGAGAAGCCTTTCGAGAAATTAAACTTATCAATAAAATTCTTAGGTCTCTCCCTAAAAAAATTTACATGAAGGTTACTCCCATTCAAGAATCTGCTAGATGGGAAGCTAAAACAGTGGCCCAGCTCATGGGAAGCTTAAAAACTTAGGCTATTTTTATCCTTAAAATTTACTCCCTTTCAAAGTGACACGACATAAGCCATGTCACTATTTATAAATTAAAAGTTCTTTTTAAAAAGAAAACAAAAATACAATGTCATGAGTGGAGAGAGCCTTTGTTAATTTTTTTTACCATTTTTAATAATTTAAATAATAATAACATTGATAAAAATAGTAATTTTTTTAATGTGATATGAAATGTGGACTCACTTTTAAAAGTGAGTTAAAATTGTAGGGATGTAGAGAAAATAATAAATGAATTATATTGCAAATTTGATCACGTGGAAGGTCAATTTTAAAAGTGAGAGAGTTTTGTGAGGAAAGTGGAACTTTAACGGGATGTCGTTCTCTAAGGATGGCGAATGACAATTGAACAATATGCTGCCAAGCACAAGTGAATAAGAGGCGTAGAAAGATAGGTCTCAAGACTTAAACAAAGAGCATTATCAAAGCAACAAGTGAAATTAAAGTAAAGCAACAAGCATTGTAAAGAGGCAAGTAAGTGAATGGAGGGGACTAGGACTAGGTGTTCCTTGATTGGATGCAAAAGAATGGTCCTAAATATAGGAAGTAGTGTAATGCATTGATCATGATTTTTGGAAGATGTTTCCATTGCCAAGACACTCTCGAGGTCTATTTGGCCTATCAAGTAGCAAAATCTTACTCTCTTATCAACCTTACTACTTGAGACATTTCATCGAACACTTAGAGTTCACTTCTTCTTCCAAGCTCTATCTCTTGGTGCAAGGTAGGAATTGCAAGTGGAGTAGACTATAGTGTAGTCCCAATCTCTTGGCAACAACACACCTCCCAGGCCTATTGCATGATGTGGCCATTACCATACAATAGTCTATACAAATTAAAGTCCACTTCCAACAAGAATCAAGTTAATACATCAAGTCACTTCCTTATTGCAATTCAAAACATTCTAGCATTATCCTAACAAGCTAAGTAAACTTAATCCTAATTCCCTAAGAATTAGCTAGACATTGTTCACAATTGATGAATAGCTAAGATAAGAATCAATAGAAGCATTTGGAAGGAAAGTAAATTGCAATTGAAATGAACGCTTAGCTTAGAATCACAATCTTCAATCTCCAAGCAATTCTTCCATCAATTGTAGTTGGAATCCCCGGGCCCTAGTAATTCTTAATTTGATCAAGGTCTCAAGTTGTTTAAGAACCCTAGGGAGGATTCTTTGTCTAAAATCTAAAGTACAAAATTGAACAAAGTGTAGAGATGATATTCTTCAATTCAAATCGCTCTCAAGTTCTTCCATATTTCCTTTTAAGTTGTTTTATGTCTTGATATCTCAATTTGAAATAGTTTTCACAGAGAGTAGAGCAAGACTTATATTCAGTTAGATAATCTAAGTGGTTTGAATTGTTTTCTTTTTTGGGGTTTTCATCTGCACACTTCATTTCTCTAGTGTATTGATCAAATTGAACATTCAGGATTTAGTTTGCTGCAATACAACTCATTGTGTTATAGTGTCTTATTCGCATTTCCAAATCTAGTCCCTATATATTACAACAGATACTAAGTCAGTCGTTCATACCAAGAACATGGTGTTTGCTTTAGTCTATGTGGAGTTTTAATTTCCTTAGTTTATACACGTGGTATGGGTATTTTGGATCTTCAAATATCTTAGATTGAGTCACATAAATTTCCTCAAGCAAGTAACCCTTCCAAAATAATGTTGTTTTTACACAGCTAGAAAAATTCGAATGGATTTTAATCAAGCGATTGGTGCAAATGTTTCATTGTAGTTTATTTGATCTTTCAACTTGAGTGTATCCTCATGCAACTAGTCACGCTTCGTTTCTAGCTATATTCCCAATTTCATCAATCTTGTTCTTGAAATTTCATTTCGCTTCAATTATATTGACATTTTCAAGCATTGGAACCAAATCTCATACATGATTTTGTTCAAATTGTCCAACTTCTTTTTCCATGTCCTTGATCAAATTCTCATCCAACAGTGCCTATTTACAATCTTTAGTTCAATTCATGGGGATCCTCTTAGTTAAATTGCTATCGAAGATATGACGGATGATGAGATTAAAAGAAAAGTAGCAAACTATTTGATTCCTAGAAAAGGCTAGGACTAGAGAGACAACCTAGGGAATGGATTGCGGGTTTCAGTTGTACAACCGAGGTTAACAACATCGCAGAAGCAGAATGTTAAGCAGTCATCCAAACTCTCTAATAAGCCTGGGACAAGAAGTGCAAAAAGATATGGATTCAAAGCTACTCGAAAGAGATAGGGGTATTTGGTAAATAGTTGTTAGCTGATTGGAGTAGTAGGTTTAACTAGTTGATAGCATTGACGGATTGTAGAAAGATATTTGGTAAATTGGTTGCTAACTTATAGCTGAATAAATGCAAAATGACTTTCTCAAAAAACTTATCCAAAAAAGCTATTTTGAGTAACTTTTTGAATTTTAGTGTTTTGAAACAATAAGTTGTTACAAAAAAAAAAAAAAAGCTAATTAATCAAACACTTATCTTATTGTTTAACAAAGTCAAACAGCTAATAATGATCAAATAAGTCAAACTTGATTAATAAACTAACTATGTTACCAAACATGAGCGTACTCAACTGGCTGAAGAAGGACTCAAACCCCACGGGACCCTTTGAAAGAATGGTGATGATATGTACGGGGTGGATTAACAAACCGTGGGGAGGTGAAAATTTCCCATATTTTTCATGAGCAAAATAAGGTAGGAGATAGGTTAGACAAGATTTTGTGAGGAGGAAATGTGATTGGATTGAGTTCCACAGACCGCAGGAAGAAGTTTAGAGACGGGTGCAGAGACTTCCACACCAAGAGCAATAACTTAGGCAGGCAATAAGCACGTCGGGTCAACCCCTTCTCCATGATCCAAATATATATATATATATATATATATATATATATATATATATATATATATATATATATATATATATATTTGTTCAAAGAAGTGATGACTTTCGATATTAATGTGGCAAATTTATTATGAGAGAACATTCTAATTCAAGAAAAACATATCAAGCTTTTACTTCACTATAAAGTAAGCATAACGTTTTCCCTTATTAAATAACTTGATAGCATAGTTTTCTGAAAATTTAATTGTTCAACAAGTAAATTAGGCAATCAGAAGAAAAAACATATCTAAGACTATGTGGTCTAATGGTACCTGGATTGGACTTTCATTTGGAAGGTTATGAGTTCGAGCACAGATAACATTCAAAAAATAAAATTAGGCAATCAGAAGAAAAAACTAAGTGGGCGTTTGATAAATAGCTGTTAACATTAGTTGTTAACTAATTGTAGAAAAAGCTGTTTTGAGCAACTTTTTGAATTTTAGCATTTTGGGGAAATAAGCTATTACAAAAAGCTAATTAATTAAACATATTGGCCATGCTTAGTAAATGGTTGTTTGTTGTTAGCTGATTGGGTTTATTAGGGGTATAACTAATTGATAACATTAGCTGATTGTAGAAAGATGTTTAGTAAATTAGCTGTTAGCTAATAACTATTTAGTAGAATTTCTTTTCTCAAAAAGCTAATTGAAAAAGTTGTTTTGAGTACCTTTTTTAATTTAGCATTTTGGAATACAAAAAGCTAATTAACCAAATACTTATATTAATTTTTAAAGCAAATCAAACACCTAATAGTGATCAAAAAAGCCAAAATTGACCTATAAACTAACTATTTTACTAAACAGGATCATTGATTGTTTAGTCAAGTCAAACATCTAATAGTGGTCAAATAAGCTAAAATTAATTGATAGACTAACTATGTTTACCAAGGAGGGCCTAAATGTCAATGTATCTTCAAGCAAGGGAGCAAGGGAGCAAGGCAGCAAGCTACCAACCTTAAAGGGGAAGGGGAAGGTATATTTACCAAAATACCCATTGCATACTAAGATTTTTCAGTTCTTTTTTTTTGGGGGGGGGGGGGGGGGTCACAAGTTAATGGCAAAAACTAAACTCAACACTTTACTTGAAATTTGAAATATTACTCCGGAATAAATATGCCACTTCAAATGACATGCAAAACATGAAATGATGTATAAGGATTTTGTTCAACACTGTTTTTCCATGGAACTAACATGATATGCTGATCAAACAAATACTGCAAACCCTCAGGAGAGACTTTCACCGGTTGGCGGAAAAACTTATCTGTGTATTCAAACTGCTGCAGATCATGCCCCTTTTACTTCGAGATGAAGAAAAGAACAATGATATCAAATAATAAATAATGAACAAATTATAATGATAAAACACTCTGTGACACAAATACAATCTTCAGAAGCACATTTTGATCTCGACTTTAGGCTACTCACAACGCTACTGTCCACTGGCTTGTCTTTTTACCCCTCAGGAATCACTGAAAGACGGTGTAGTAAAAAGTTAGCATTTTAGCATCTAAGAAGCAAGAAAGCAAGGGAAAAGAATAGAACCTGTGACTTAGAATACATTTTACTAATAGTGGTAAAGATGATTGACAAGTAGTAATATAAATATATATACCTTATTATCAGTTTTCTTTTCACGTTCTTCATTCTTGTTCATATCATCTTCTATGTCTTCCGCTTCCTCATCATCCTCGTTAGCTTCGTCATCTTCATCATCTGGAACAGCCTCTCCAGTAAACCATGACACAGCGTGAGGAATGATTTTTTCTCGGATGGTTGACCTGCAAGACAAATTATCAGAAAATAATGAGAAGATTTGTTGAACTAGAAGCAATAACTAGATCCTAGTGGCTAAATCAATAATAAGATTTCTGAAACAAAAAAAAAATTAATAATGATAATATAGTTTAGAAAAGCACTTCACAGATTCAGCAGGCAAAGCAAAATAGACTAATGATAATATGATATAAGAGTGACTCTCCTTTGAGACTGTCTTACGGATAAGTCCTTATCCGTGAGACGGTAGGGTCAAGATAGAAATGTAATACTTATACTGGAAAGTTCTTTTTTTTTTTTTTTTGGGTATACCCAGGGTTTCCACCGTCGGACACAGTTACTAATCCCCTCGCTGAATTCTAGGCACCTCTTTTGGGCGGGCAGCTGGCCTGGAGATTTAAGGCTGCTACATACCCAAAGCCAAGGATCGAACCATTGACCTTTGGTTTAGGATGGATGAGTCCCTTCCACTAAACCACACCTCCCGGGAATGGTGTGTACCACAAATATGCATACTTGACTTACCCGATCTCATAATCTTGCTCTATCTGACACTGAAGCAGTTCAGCCTACAGAAAAGTGACACAGAATCAGCAGAGTATTAAAATTTGGGCAGTAATTCTCGGATACTGAAGTGGCATTCTATCCAAGAAACTTACCGTTTCCTCTTCAATTGCCTCTTCATCTTCTGGTAGTTGAGGTGGATCAAAAAAGAGAAAGAAGCTTTCACAGTCCTCAACTTTTGTGATTGGCTTGGTTTCCTTGGATCCTTTCTTTGGTTTCTTCTTTAAAATCTTCCGCGTCAAGTTTTTCCCAGGAAGCCACTGAATCTCAGTCCTAAAAGGTAACCAGGAAAACGACATAAGGGAGAATTAAAAAGCCAAAGCATTTTCAGGGCTGAACAACTTTAGCAGTACATGTACCCTATTGCTTCCTCTAGGATATGTTCCTCCTCGCTAATCATGCGATATGTTTTAGTCAGCACATTGTTGCTAAAATAGGGATTTGGGTCGAAGAAGAACTCAAGCTTAAAACCCTTTTCACCATCAAGTCTACTGCACTTAATATCTTTAAGATAATGGAGGGCACCTTCATCATTCTCAGTAATCTGAAAAAAAAAAAAAAAAAAAAAACATATCACTAATCAATCCATAGTACAGCTACATTAGAGAATCCAGAATAAAACTCTTATATTGAAGTTACCTCTCTAGAAAGTGTTTGATTATTCTTCATTGCTGTGAGCCAGAAATGGGGAATACCTTTTTCTGGATCAAAAAGTATTTGTTAGAGTAATCGAAAAGCCTTCACAAAAGATAAAAATAGATCGGGCTTTAAGGAGTACCTTCAACAGTTCGTTCTAATTTTTGGTCCATTGAACTCTCATCCGAGACTCCTTCAATGTGACTCACACCATTCACAATCTCGTAACGCTGGAAATGGCAAAAGAAAATAATAAAACTCTGAAACATCTGAACTTGAAATGGAAATTCAAAGATTTATTTTAGCAAGGAAGCATAGGACTACCTTGGTATACAGTGGCTCATAAAGCTTCTGGAACTTTGCTTCTAACACCGCTCTCTCTTCAAAAAACTTCGCCTCGAGCTCGTCATGTTCGCTCTGTCAGATAAATAAAAAACCAGACTTCGGATCAAAGTGAAAATGAATGGTAGCAGGCATAGCCTAGGGTTTCCACCGTCGGACACAGTGACTAATCCCCTCGTTGGATTGTAGGCACCTCTATTGGGTGGGACAATTGGCCTGGAGATTTAAGGCTGCTCCATACCCAAAGCCAATGATCGAACCCTTGACCTTTGGTTAAGGATGGATGAATCTCTTTCACTCAACCACACCCCCCCAGGTTATCCAGTACCTTATCTATTCCTAAGGAATTAATGCTTACAAAGGCACATAGTCTATACAACAGGGAATTTATTCCAACTTATTCGTGATCTATAATTATCCCACGCTTCTTTTTCAATAACTGAAACATTCTTTGGCAGAGGTGATTCAAAATAATACGTACCCTCCAAATCATCAAGATCCTCATCAAAGAAATCTTATACAACTACCAAACTAAAATAATATAGTTTATACAATATGCATACTGGTTTTCTTTGCCAGAGAGCAAATATTATATGGTATTTGAGTTAAACTTTATCAAAAGGGGCAATGAAATCCATTAAAAACTAAATTGTGAGTTTACAATTGCATAAACTGAGAGCATATAACAACACAAAACCAATATGTAAAACAACAAAGCGATCGGGGTCAAAATAAATAACAGTAATGAACAAGAAATGAAGTTTATTTTGAACCTGAATCTCCCTTAGGAAATCCACACGTTTCCTAGCTTTGGGGGGAAGAGATTCCAGAAAATCAGAATGGCCCATTGACAACTCCTGAAGCTTATTCTGCAACAGAAATTGAAAAATTCCACAAACCCAAAGCTTAAATAACTCCAAACCACCCTTTGATCCTTAATTCATATTTATGTTAATGTAAAAGCTAAAAGTGTAAAGATTAGCAAAGAACTCATCACCTTGATGGCGTTTACAAGATCTGCACGATCCTCAGCACTAAGCGCTAAAAGCATCCATTAAAAACCAAGAAAAGAACATTCAATATTACCAATTAAATCACCAAAAAGACAGTATGGTACAGAGAGAGAGAGAGAGAGGAGAAGAGTAAAATCATACCCGCAGCAGCAGCAGGGAGATCAGAAGCTTGAGGCTGATCCTTTTGATCACTCATTGCGCTGTGGATTTTGGGATATACTCGGATCAAGAGCAATTCCCAGACAGTTTTTTCTAGCGATAGTAATCCAAAGTATATAAACTATAAAGAGGATGCTAAAATAGAAAATTGAAGAACAGTAATAAAGAATCTTAATGACAGGAAGCAAATAGAGAAATTGTTGATTTGTTGGAGCCTTTTAAAGGGATTCTGGAGAAGGCGACACCTTTTCCCTGAGGGGAAGTCCCAGTCAAACCAAAAGCTGACTTTATCAGAAAGTCAGCAGGATCATTCATCATTGTTTTTTTTTTGTTTTTTTTTTTTTTTGTTTTTTTAAATTTATGGATTTGAGATGTTTTTCTCTTTAGTTGATTTGTGTATGGTACATTGTGGATAAAATTTTAGTTGTTTTGAAAAGCATAGTGATGATTAAGTATTTATCTTTAAAAATGTGTTTTAATTTAATTAGGTCACTGGACTTAAAAAACCAACAATTGGGTCCCTAAACTAATCAATTTCAAACAATTCTTCCCATTTGAAGGTTTCCAACATGTCAACAGGTCATCCTTCTAAATTAATTATTTTTTAAAAATAAATTTTAAAAATTAATCATTTTTAATTTTTTTTTTAAAAAAGGACTCTACCGTCTCCGGCCGGTTTCTTCATCTCCACGCCCGGAGACGAAGAAACCGGCCGGAGACGGTCGTCTCCGGCGGGGTCCTGTTTTTTTTTTTCTAAATTTAAAAATAATTAATTTTTTAAATTTATTATTTTTTTAAATAATTAATTTGGGAGGATGATCTGTTGGAAACCTTCAAATTGAAAAAATTATTTGAAATTAATTAGTTTAGGGACCTAATTGTTGGTCTTTTAAGTTCAGTGGCCTAATTGTATTATTGTGTGCAGTTCGATGGCCTATTTGACCCTTATTTCAATATTTAATTAGAAGGAAAAACGTGTTTCATGTGGTGAAGTTGTTAATTAGTGAACAGTGCACGCCAAACACTCGTATGGAGGTAGGGTGTACGATTTTGAATTCCTCGACAAATACAATTTGTAATATGTTACGCAACCCTATAATTAGCGCACACACAGAGTGTTTTTTTTTTTTTTTTTTTTTTTTTTTTTTTTTTTTTTTTTTTTTAATTTAGATGATCACAATTTCGTCGTACTAATCTTAAGTCCTTAGGACTCTGTCTTTAGAATCACTGTGAAGGTAAATTGTGCATAATGAATTCAATCCAGACCTTTCAACATCCTTGGACAATTTTCTCATACCTACACTGTCACCTCCTGTCATGACATTTAAGTCAGGTGATGAACCAACTACGGTAAGTCTCAGGAGCACATTGTGTTTTTATCATTATATGATATGATGTGATACTTTTTTGTATGATTTTTTTTTTCTATTTTAAATATCAAACTAATTTGACAAATACTGATTAACAAAGAGTGATTTTCATAGAGGTGCATAATATTGCTTTTGAAATTTTATGTCTAAAACCACTATGTTACAATTTAATTTTTTTTAACTTAGTGGTATAAGTGTATGACTTACCCACTATGTTACATATTTTCTTGTGATCATTTCTTGAATAAGGTCACAAAACGAGATTTATCTAGTGCACATTGTTAAATAGTAATTGTGGATTTCTTTCATCACCAAAAAATAAAAGAAATATATTACACATTTAGTTATGTACTTAAACATTATATTATTAAAAAAAATAAATGTCAAATATTCTCTAAAAATCTTGAAAAGCAAACGTTGTTGTCCCATGTATTGGAAAATAAGTTATATACGTTTCCAAATGAAAACTCTTTACTATAAAACATTAGAGTAGCTTAATTGATATATGACCAGGACTATGTGGTCCAATGGTACCCAGGTTGGACTTCCATTTGGAAGGTTGTGAGTTCGAGCCTTAGTGGAGGCGTTATTAGCTCTTTGTGTTATAGAGCTAGTAGCATTCAAAAAAAAAAAAAAGCTTAATTGATATATGAAGATAGTAATGTAGGGAGGATTTTGTGATATTCGGACCCCAATCCACGCTAAGTAGGTCTTCATGAGGCATGTACATTGAGGTGGGGTAGTGTGATGTTGACAACCGCTTTATATTTGGTTTGGTTTCTATTTAATTTTTACTCAAAATTTAAATGTTATTGATATTCTTTAATTTTTATTGTACTAATATTTATACATGTGGTGCTAACTATCATGTGATGTGATGGTATCTCGGTTATCATTCTAAATGGACGGTCATAAGTTAGAACCCCGGTGGTCGAGTTTAGATTTTTTGAGCTGAAAATATTTGCGAAAATATAAAACATATATTATCTTGTAAAGAATCATTAGTATTTCAATAAATAAATAAATAAATTGTTAAGCCTATATGTGGCTGATATTTTCTATATTTGACATGCATGCACCTTCGGAGTGTCGTCACTCACAGGCTGCTAAACGGCTTCTTCGCTATCTCAAAGGTACAATTTGTCATGGTCTGTTCCTTCAGGCCGGTCAATTGTTGTCGTTGGGTATGTATACTGATTTTGATTGGAGAGGTTGCACTACTGCTGGTTGTTCTACTATCGCATACTTGGTGTATCTGGGCAATAATCTTATCTCTTGAAAGTCCTCACGTTAGAAGTCTGTCTCTCATTCGTCTACGGAAGCTGAATACCGTACTTTGGCAAATGCAGCAACGGAGGTTCTCTAGATTAAGAATTTGTTACAAGAACTGAAGTTGTGTCTGGAAAAGCCTCCGGTGGTGTTCCGGGACAACGTCAATGCCACATATGCTTGTAAAAATTCAGTGTTTCATTCACGAATGAAACATATGGCATTGGACTACTTTTTTGTTCGAGATTTGGTTACTAATGGTATGATGGTTGTACAACATATTCCCTCTTCTGAACAGCTAGCTGATCTTCTTACCAAGCCGCTTAGTCGTCACCTGTGTCTTCAGTTTTGGTCCAAGATTGGAGTGTCCGACGGATCCTCAATCTAGTGGGGGTGTGTATGTTAAGCCTATATGTGGCTTACATTTTCTATTTTGTTTAATTTATCTATTCTAAATGTGTTCCTATAGACTAGCTTTAACTTCCTCTAACATTTTGTTGTTCCAGTTAAGAAAAAAATATCGGTGGTATTGCTTATTAAAATGAATGTGTTCCTATAGACAGTGTTGCAAAAATCGCGCCTACGCGCTAGGCGATCGGCTTTCTAGGCGGCCGCCTAGGCGCTCTAGGCGCGCCCTAGGCAGTCCCCAGCTGGCGCCTAGCGATTTTTTCAACATTGCCTATAGACTAGCGTTTTTTTTATTGTGTAATCTATCAAAAACATTATATTGTAATTTATAATGTATTTTCTATTTTAACCTTATTATGATTATTTGATATTTTGTAATTGACATTTTTATCGTCATTTAAACTTCGCTCCCCACTCAAATAATTTTCTTGCTCCGTCCCTGCACACATATATACATGGTGTCGAGTTTCAGTCGTATCCTATTTAGGAAAAGTTCTTTTATGACTATTGCTACATACAGAATTTATGGTTTCACCTTGGTTGGACCCATTCATAACAACTTTCTTAATGACATTTTTGCATACACAGTTGATATAATGATATGCAAGACCTAATATCTCTAACAGATATTTTCAATTTTAATTTAGTTTAACTGATATATTTAAAAACTTAGAGAGGGTAACTTCAATTATAGAATCATAAAATTTGATTCCTTTCATAACCAAAACTGAAAATACTAGTTTTAACAATAATTGATTTGGTTTGACTAAAGTGGCCGGTTTGTACTGAACCTATATCAATACATCATGATTAGTGAGGTGCATTAGGTGCAAACATGTCACGGACATCACATTAAAAAAAATTAAAATATAAAAAATACAGATTTGGTTAATCATGTAACCCAATAGTTATATCGTGAACCAGAGTGCAAGTTACTACATGTATCCAACACATTCTTATTTTTTTTCAACTTAATATTATTTTGCTTGTTTTCTTTTTGTAAAAATAAAATTAGTGTATAACTAAAAATCACTAACTGAGATCTTTTAAATAAAATTCATATATATATATATATATATATATATATATATATATATATATATATATATATATATATATATATTGTAATGTTCTCGTGCGGTTGAATGCTTCCCGTGCGGTTGTGCGGTTGATTAATGTGCGTGAGGTTTGTATTCAATGTGCGTGAGTATTGTGCTTAATGTACCTGAAATTTGTACTTAATGTGCGTGTGTGTAATGTTAATGTGCGTGAGTTTTGTACTTAAGGTGTGAGTCTTGTGCCTAAGGTGCGTGAGTTGTGTGCTTAATGTGCGTGAGTGTGTTCTTCATCCACTGCTGCGAAAATTATGCGCATCCACTGCTGCATTTTCTTCTTGTTTTTTGTTTCGAAGTGGTGGAGGAATGGATTTTGTCTTGTTTTTAACATAAAATCAGCCATATGTGTGTTTACATATATCCATCCATTCACACACAATCAGAAAAGCTTCACTCACATTTTCTTTCTGTTCTGCTTCCTTCTGAGCTCGTAATTCTGAACTCAAGTCACGCACATTAAGCACAAACTTCACGCACATTAAACACAATACTCAGGCACATTAAGTACAAAACTCACGCACATTAACATTACATACTCACGCACATTAAGCACAAATCTCAGGCACATTAAGCACGCGACTCACGCACATTAAGTATATAACCCACGCACATTAATCTACCGCACAACCGAACGGGAAGCCACAAATGCACCCGATCCCTTCCCTATATATATATATATATATATATATATATATATATATATATATATATATATATATATATATATATATATATGATGGTTCACGTGCGAAGCTTCTCCTAGGTTAAAAATGGGGTGAGATTTGAGTCGTTGATTTAGTCTAGATCAACAGCTCAAACTGAATGAAAATTTTTAAAAAATGTGTTTATTAACAACATGAATACAAATGATCAAGTGTCTCGAACTGACGTTGTAATACCGCGTTTGTTCAAACTATATTATTTTCATAAAAATATCCATTAATACAAAAATTATTTTGATAATCGTAATTATTTTAGTACTCATGATATCAAAATAAATTATTTTACTTCAAACATCAAAATAAAACTACTTTGCTAACCCCAAATATCTTAGCATTAATATTTTTAAATTAAAT